CATGTCTATGGACTTAAAACTAATTAATTTCAACCCTTTAACTTAATTTTTTCTCTGAAGATTTTTATTTGGGTCAATGGTCGAACCACTGGAATCGTATATACATATTCAATTTTCGAATAAAAATACACGTTTGTATGAAAAAATAGTTTTCAAATTTACGTTATTTTTACGAATTTTGTCAAAATTCCAACTTCAGACGCTCATGAAAAACTATTGTATGACTGGCGAGGAACGTTGTAGTCGTACTACATATTCAAGTTATTGGACCAATCGAAAATTTTTTAGAAAATTAAGAAAAAACTAAAATAAACGAAAATTTCTTATGCATATAACGAATACCTCGACATGAATCTAAGAATTTTGAAAATGTTATGGTTTTTGATTCCAATATAGACAATCAGTGAAAATTGCATGTATTAACAGTAATTTATTTTAGAGTTACACCACTTTCGCGAAATACCGAAACCGATTTTACGTAAAAATTCACGTTTTCCTATATTTTTTTTTTGTTTTTCCCGGCGCTTTTGGAGTCTAGGTAGGTACTGTTCATTTCGACATGCCCTATGCACCTACCAGATTAACTTTGCCACCGGAAAATATGAAATGCGAAGCATTATTTCGACTACTTATCGTGTACACAGACCGAAATAATACATTTTATTACGCAAACATAAATTTACTAATTGTTTCAATATAGGTCGATTCACTCTAACTTTTGAACTGACGATGCTAAATGCTTAATGCGATCTGCTGAAGGTAAATTTGCTATACAAGACGGAGACAATAAAATGCCAGTGTTACGTCTTAAATCGTGGTTCGTGGAGCTGCATCGTTCACGAAATTTCGGACTAGTTCGGTAAAATGTAATATTTTAATGCCCGCGATTCTGTCTTATCACTATGTACCACGAACTATGATAGTAATAATTGTTATCAAATAAATAACAACATAATAATATTGTTATTTTTTCGATGTAGACTTTAAATTTGAATCACTCGCGAGTCTCGATTATTTGAAATCCGAACAAAAATACAGACTACAGAACTACAGTCGTACGTACAGAGTTCTATTCATAAATTTTGGTACAAAATCACCATGGATAAGTGTATACTTTTTAGTAAAACATCCAATGTATCGCCTCGCCACATTACGTTAATTTTCATTTGTAAGTATTATTTTCTAGTTGTACTGATTATATTTCTTAATAATGTGGAGTCAGTCTAATTTGCTAATTTGTTCACAAATATAGGTAGATTTCCAAAAAATCAATGAAATAAAAGGAAATGATGGCTATAAATGTTAGAATTATCGCGATTTATACCCGGCATAGAATCTGCGGTAATCATTTCTCAATTATTAGTGATTGTAAACAATGCTCAGTAAATTAGTAAATATGGTCAGAGGCTGTCTCAAAACATAATCCAAACCACTTGTCTGGGATAGAGAAGTAAAATAAATGTTAGTAATTTACGGCAACATTGGTACTACTCTGAGCACGACTAGTAAATCGCATCTAAGAGTTAACATAATTCATAAACTTGGTACCTATTTATGTATTTTTTTTACAACTTGACATTTTCAGATAATGTTGTTTCTTCAACGACGAGTTAGAAGAAAATGAACAGACAAACTATGATAGAAATAATTTTTATCAAATAAATGACAACATAATATTATTATTTTTTTGTTAGCCGAAGTTTGAATCACTCTCGAATAGCATTTATTATTTGAAATTTGAACAAAAATACTACAGACTACAGTTGTACAGAGTCTAATAGTTCTATTCATACATTTTATTACAAAATCACCATGGATAAGTGTATTCTTTTTAGTAAAACATCTATAGTATCGCCACATTATGTTAATTTTACTTTGTAAGTATTATTTTCTAGTTGTACTGATTATATTTCTTAATGATATGGAGTCAGTCTAATTAGCTAATTTGTTCAAAAATATAGATTTCCAAAAAATGAAAATAGAAGGAACTCATATCTAAACAGCTTCGAATTAATTGATTATCCCAATTTCTATCTGGTAGTATCTGCGGTAATCATTTCCAACTAGTGATTGTAAACAATGCTCTCAAAACATAGTCTAAATCAAATGGTATGGGATAGAGAAATAAAATTTTGTCACATTTGCATGTTGCCAGTATTTCGAAGAGAGAAGACAAATGGTGCACTGACTGACATATTTTTAACAAAGTTTCTTAGGTAATACAAAATTTTGCTGAGCAAGAATCCAATTTTAATTATACAGTGGGCTTGGACATAATATTTAAATTACAAAGAAACACATAACTAGTTTGGACTTTGGTATCTTTTCTGAAGGGAAATTTAATATAGTTATAGGATCAACAATTTACAAATTATTTTGTAGTTATAAATGTATAAAATGTTCAATTGTATATTTAGCTTATGCTTATACTTTATAATATGCTTTTATTAAATCTATTTTGTTTTCAAGCAATGGTTATTGCAAAGTTAACTATAAAATTAAATCTTAATTAAAAGATACTTTGCTCAAAAATTTAAATATTTACTTTCCAAATACCAACTAAAAGCAGTGTATCAAATATTTTATTATTATAATCATTTTAGAGTTTACACACATATTTTGCCTGTGTCTTATTCTAAACAATTGGATCAATAGCCACCTCCAGCTGTTATCGCACATATCATTAGTGAATTTGTAACTATCGTACGAGATATTTTGACAAATGCTTCACCTGTCAGAATGGTTGGCATGTGCATGATCTGTGAAAAGATATATATTGAAGATGTTGATGACAGGCTGTTAAAAGTATAGGAGTGTCCTACTGTACGTACATTTATTGAACATAGTAATATTAGTAACTTGCCCAGCCTTGCAATTCGAACACTACATGGAAGTTTTCACGTACATTATATCTATTTCATGCATTAACTTTCTACAAACAGATAGTTATAGTTAGTTATCAAAATACTGAATAATACAATAACGTTATTATACAAACTGAAAAAAAATTATATTTAAATCTATAATAAATTATGACAACGACTGAGCAGAGAGAAGGTTGTATATCAATTGCGCCAAAATTACATTTTTACATGTAAGAAAATATCTATTGTTTGTGCCGCGGATCAACTCCACCAAACTTTTTTACATATTGATTCAGCCGGCTATAAATCCACTGAATATTTGTAAATAATTATTTTTAATAATAACTTTTAATACATTTTATTATTTTGACAATATTTTACATTGTATTTTATTGTTTTTTTTTCCTGCCATAATGTATGTATATAAATTGGTTATATTGAAATATTGTCCCTTGTGGACGACAAAATTTTAATTGTCTTTTGAAATGTTTTTATTTAAATAGAGAAAATACATTTACTGTTATGGTAAACTGTGTGTTCCTATACTGTTAATTAAAAAAAAATTCTGTACTATATTAATGCCTAATGGACATATTATCTCCGTTAGACATTTCCCTAATCCCTGGTCAATAATATACTGTCTTAATTATCAGTTTTATATTGTTCATTCTTATGGTAAAATGTCAGATATAATATCACTGTATCTATGTGTACATAAATCATAAATGTATTAGGAAAACTAATAATTAATAATAAAGAATTTTAGAGTGGAGAATATCTTGCAGGAAAGAAATGGGTCTTACTAATACAAATATTTTTGGACTACCAATTAAGTTTTTTTTAATTTATTTTATGGACAATAGACCACATAAATTCCATTTTTACAGTCGACTTATCGAAGATAAATTTTAATCATAAATCATCATTAACTTATTATAAATTCTTAAAACGGCTCAGTCATCTAGTTCAATAATGGAATATTATTAAAAATAATTGAAATAAAACATCAATGCTTAATATACACCTAATAAATGTTTTTTTTATTTTCTTATGAATATTTATTTGAAGATAATGATATGTGTATAAGATTATTTAATAAGTTAAATTTGTACTTTGTTTAATCCATCAATTAATTGTTATTTTCCTTTATTGAGTTTTAAAGATAAATAATATTATGAAAATATTTGAGTTACAATTAGTTTCACTATCCATTGCACTAAAAATGTGATAAATCTGGTTAAAATTCATATTTTTAAATCCTAAATTTCTCGGGCCTAGCGTTACAATATATTTCTTCTTATTATTACTGATAATATTGATATACCGATTGTATTTGATACATCTGTGGATGACTGCTTAATAAAAAACATTGATTAATCGATATTATCGATTATTAAAAACGATTAATCGATACTATCACAGAGCCCTACTCAATACCACTTTTTTTATTACCTATTTATTGTATACATTATGTCACATACAGTGTATAATAATAAACTAATATTATGATCGAATAATAAACGTTAATTGAGGGACCTGATTGGGGGGTGTGGGGGGGGAGCCCACCACATTTTTTACTTATTTTAAATATGTTAGGGCTGAAGCCCCACTAACTTGAAGGTTTAGCTACGCTTACGAATATGATGGAGACATATGCACAGGTCACAGACTATATTAAACTAATTTTTTAACTATTTACCATAACTATAAATACCGCAATTAACTATTTTCATACAGTTTGTAGTGTATAGGCATTAAACATATTATTTAGTACGCCATTTTATGTTTCTGTGGACTCTGAGGATTCATTGATTAGGAATTAACTGCATGCTGTTTGAACAACAGGATAAACTATAAAGCATTTACCTACCATAATATTATTATATGGAGTGATCCATTTAACTTAAGAAACTCTTGTTACTTTAGAAAACACTAATAATTAATACTTGAAACATTAAAATTATTTTCTTAATTAATATTTATAATAAGGATCAAACTATGACTCTGTAAATCATAAATAACTAATAACTAATATATTTTATAAATTATAAATTACTATACGCATTATTATAGGTATACCTACTTAAATTTACATAAATTACTTTACATTGTTATTTATACTTATTTTGTAAAATTTCAATTTATGGTACTTCTACCATTTACATTTGTCTTACTGAACACAATAAATAAAACATGAAGAATGCCCATTAAGAAGGAGCCACCAGAAAATAACTTGAAGGTTGATACTCCTCCGATTTTTTCGTAAAAAAATCCACCTATCAAACCACCTAGAGATATCCCTAAACAAATAGAATTTAAAAATTTAATTAAATGCACAGTGCAAAGATAATTTCAAACATGATTAATATTATTTATATGCATTGGTTATAACTTATATTATAAGTAGTAGTATAGTATAGTATAATTAATGATATATTTAGTCAATCAAACTAAACACGCTGTAATGCTGTATACACCAGGAAGACTTTTTTTAGTCATCATATTATATCGTAATTTATATAAGTTAAAAACATAGGTACAGTCATAAACTGATATACGTAGAGACAAAAATATCCAACACACAGTTAAAGTGAATACAATAACTCAATAAATTGCATCAATATTATGATCTCGTAAATAGTCGCTTACACATACCTACACCTTCAAACAGTGCTCCAGAAAATCCTACCACAGTAGTAACAGCACTGGCAGGAGCAACGATTCTTGAGTATTCCATCAATACAGCGTGACACAATCCGAATGTGATGCCGTTTGTGAATTCGACTGGCAGTATCCAAATTGGGTTGGTTATAATTGAGTACAGGTAGAACCTAATAGCAAAAGTGAAAAGACCTAATGCCATGCATTGCGTATGACCAATTCGTTTGATAATCCAACCAGAAAAAAATAAAAACGGCATTTCACCGCCAATGCATTGAATTCCTATGGCTGAACCCTGTAATGTTTTTATCCACAATTGCTGTTCACTGTGGTACTTCTGAGTTAAATCCTCCATATACCTATAACACAGGTACCTAAGTTAAATTCAAGGAATATTTCCAATTTAATAGGCATAAATAAAACAAACTATTTTTTATAGAATAGGCACAAAAATACAAAATATTATTATTTCGTTTATAAGTTCAAAACGTAGGAACTACGAAGTTTTAAATTTATGACATTAAAACCTATTATAATAATAATAAATAAGCTAACAGTTTTTTAAACAAAATAAATGAATAATTATTTAAAGTTAAATAGTTTTAAAATTTTCTATATTATTACCAAAAAAGGTAATTCCACACCATAGATGTACAAATACCCATTAGTATGATCCATACAAAAAATATCACAATATTCACATTAGTTAGTAATTTGAATACGTCTGATAGTGTATTTTTAGATCCAATTGTCTCAGTGATCTTCAATAAATCATGTAAACATTTCAAAAATGATTTATTATCGTATAGTTGGGTAATTGACAATGTAATATTATAATATTTATGTAATCGTATAATATTCCTAAATGTCTACAGTCTACTTTTATAGTATAGGTAGGTACAGTAATGTACCAATCATTAGTGAATATAGGTAATGTATTAAATACAAGTATCTTACTTTTATTTTATAAGCTACCACAAAATCACTCATTACGATTATAAGACATAGATAGTAAATTGGAGAGTAGTTTTTGTGAATATCACTAACACTAAAATAATCAACAAGTGCTCCGCCAAGTATCGAGAAAAGTCCCCAACTAATAGATCCCCAACATCTTTGTTTACCGAAATCTTCAAGTCTAGCACCTGAATAATACAACAATAATAACATAAGATTAACAATATGTCGTATTATATTTATATAACTAAATATATATATATGTATATAATATAATTATATATAATTTACTAACCCTACGTAAAATGAAAATATACACTATACTTACTCTACTTTTTTTTAAATCGTAACTAATTTTTTTGTGTGATTAATTAATAATTAATTAACTTTAAAATAATGAAACAATCACCTAAGAGATCAAAGCAAATTGGGTCTTGAAGACTCCAAGTGATTGCTTGACCAATCCAAAATAAACTCATAACAATGAAATATTCCCAGAACTGATGTAAGTCCAAAATGCTTCCTTCTAATTTTGTCATAGTAGCTAATTTCATTATAACATCATTCGAGCAGTCGATCTCACATCGAGTACTCACTGGTTTTAGGCACGTGGGAAATAAAACCTGGTTTTCCTTGAATTGCACCGATTTTACTTCAAACCCGAAATTGTTTTCTATCTAACAATGCATATTATATAGTAAGAAAAAATACAAATAACTTAAATTACATGCAACATTATGATTTTTAGAAAAAAATAATAAAATATATTGTATAAAAAAATTGATATTATATGAACTGTTCGACAAAGGTTGATTTTAAATCGACTCTGTAACTAATAACTATAATTTATAATATTAATAAACTTTTATTATAATATACAAATGTGTTTATATTTGTTCCGATCTATTATTATCACACAAATAGTCTTAGGCATTTACCACCGGAGATCCTTTGCGTACCTAGGTAAATATAGCAATGTTTGATGCAAATAACAATAATATAATATTTACAATTTACCTGATCTTTTATAATTTGGGACAAAGATACATTGAAATGTTCAAATGTATTGTTTGTATCCATGTTGTTTTGAGGTATACAATAATCCATGCTCCAAGATTTACATATTTCATCCCGAAATGATTTATTAGGTTGACAAATTAACTGAAAATTATACATACAAAATGTATTATTTAATAATTTGTAAATTAAAATATTTAATTTATTTTATAAAAAATTAGGTAAAAAATTATTTATAATAATAGTTATTAATTATTATACATACCTACATACTAAAATACCGTTTTAAAATTGAGGGGCGACATTTCAAAACGTACTATTTCCATTTTACACTTTTTTCAGAAATCACGATTTTCTGTTCCGTATTACTAGAAACTCGTGGAAATATCGTAAAAACATCATAAAATTCATAAAAATTCAGTGATTTTAGTTATGATGTTATTTATTGTTAAAATTTTAATTTTAATGTAGTAATTTATAATTTTAATTACTAAATTGCATCATAACGTCCTATTTCCAACAAATAGTACGTTTTGGTCTGATTTATGGAAATAGTTCGTTTTGCTTTCTATATTTCTATATTCTACCATAACGTACTATTTCCTGGAATATAATATTTTATATTGATTTCATATCATCAACATTCAACATTAAAATTATTTAACTAGGAACCTATCTCATAACTTGTAACATAATTGTCATTATAATATAAAAAACTAATGAAAAAATACTTTAACACTTTGTTAAATAAAACCTTGTTTATTCATAAAATGTATACATGTTAATAAAAATAATAATTTTTTATAATAATAATTCAGACTTTTAATTATTGAGTATGCAACTTAAAAATTAAAAACAAAAACAGTAAGTAAAATAATAAAAAATAAAACTTCAACAGCTTGTTAATAAATTTATAAAATATTTAAAACATTACTTTTAAAAATAAAAAATACTGTTTAATAATAATAATAAAATTATACATGAGTATAATGCAATGAGGAACTTAATCATCGTTATCATAAAGAGGAACTTCAATATTATTGAGTATGTAACTTAAAAATTAAAAACAAAAACAGTAAGTAAAATAATAAAACATAAAACTTCAACAGCTTGTTAATAAATTTATAAGATATTTAAAACATTACTTTTAAAAATAAAAAATACTGTTTAATAATAATAATTATACATAGGTATAATGCAATGAGGAACTTAATCATGTTTGTCATAAAGAGGAACTTCAATATTATTGAGTATGTAACTTAAAAATTAAAAACAAAAACAGTAAGTAAAATAATAAAACATAAAACTTCAACAGCTTGTTAATAAATTTATAAGATATTTAAAACATTACTTTTAAAAATAAAAAATACTGTTTAATAATAATAATTATACATAGGTATAATGCAATGAGGAACTTAATCATGTTTGTCATAAATAGGAACTTCAATATTATTGAGTATATGTAACTTAAAAATTAAAAACAAAAACAGTAAATAAAATAATAAAAAATAAAACTTCAACATCTTGTTAGTAAATTTATAAAATATTTAAAACATTACTTTTAAAAATAAAAAATACCATTTAATAATAATAATTATGCATATAATGCAATGAGGAACTTAATAAAATATAATTTAATCGTCATCTTCGTCATAAAGAGGAACTTCATTTATTGATTCTTCAGATGTATTTTTAAAAATATCTTCGTAAAATTGTTTTGCATCATCGGGAATTTGAAAAAATTTAAGCAGTTTTTTTACATCGTTTTGCTTTGGAAGTTTTACGTGATTGGTTTGGGGCAACAATGTAAGATCAAACATTGAAGCAATATTGCATTTTCTCTTTAACACTTCAACTTTTTCTGGTATACCACTATAAGTTTTGGAAATTCCAACAGTTTGTTGGCCTTTAACATATGTATATATTTTTTGTTCAGTAGACTTAAATTCTGATTTGGTTTTAACTACTTTTTTAACTGCACTCTTGTAGTCATAAATAAAAAAATCTTTGTTATACTCTTTGACCGTACAAAATTTTTTAAAAATATCTATGTATTGTTTGGGTGAAATTATATTTTCTTTTTTCCGTAAAACTTGTTCTATGCGCCCAAAAACACGATCAGGAGGCATATAGCTATGCCCCCTAACAGGAAATATATGATTAATTTTGGTGAAAATGGTTGCTTTACAATTTATGTAGAATAAAAGTGTAGCCATAGTGAACTGATTTTTGTTTTGACCCGAGCATGAATCAGAGAAGAGATTAAGTATAGTTGGTGGCGTAGTTTCATTTTTTAATTTATTTTCCAATGTGTCTAAAAAGTGAACTAGGGCAGAGCAAACCTCGTTTGGTCCTCTTCCACTATCACTCTCATTCCATGTGTACAAGATACAATTATCTGGCCCTTGATTTAAGTCAGAAATTACAAATGTTAAATTGTAAATCCAAACCTGGCGACTATAAAATACGTCTGTTACCGAAAGTTTAGGGATTGGCTGTGTCTGCATCATATCAAAAGAGCAGTTAAGACTATCAGAACTTTCCTCTTTTAATAGTTCAAAAAATCTTTTGGCTCTTTTTTTGTGAACATTTAATTCTAATATGAGCTCCCTTTTTAGATCTTGGTCAGCCTCAAGTTGAATTTTTATCTTTTGTTCTGAGCAAAAAGTACATGTATCTTGACGGGGATGTCCGAAGCTTAAATTAAACTTAGTAGTAAAAATTTTTTGATACTTGCTCAAGCTAGCAATTGGTTTATTATTGTCAATTCTTTTTTTTTTCCAGATTTTCCACATATACTTTACTGACAAGTCTGGGTGTAGGTAACTTCTGCCAGAATCACGTCGACTGTGATGACTTTTCCTACATTTTAAGTCTTTTATATGCCCTTCTATAGAATCAGATATTTCTTCTTGAATAATATTTTGTCGATAACCACCTCTTTTTTCTACTGGACTAGAATGAGTTAACATAAATTCCTTATTTAAAATTTTCAATCGTCTTCTGGAAATAGAAGTAATCGATGAAAATGCTTCAGCACAAACTTTTTGCATATTACCCATAATAACAGGAATAAAATAATTTGCAACTAAACGAGGTGGCCTATTTGATTTCTTTCGTTCAATTCTTTTAGCTTTGGAAACAGTTATCATTGAAAGTAAATATTTATCTTGTTCTATTTTATCAGTTATCTGACATAAATTGTTTTTAAATTCAGTTATATCTTCTTCTGTTAATTCGGAAACTCTACATACTGTTGGTCTTGATTTTTCAATGTGACTACATGTCAATTCCCACTTACTGCTCAATGTGTTTCTCATTTTCTTTTTTTCTTCCTTTTTATTAATAATTTTTCTTTTTCTTCCATTTTGAACTTCTAATACTGGATCAATGTATTCAGGATCTGTATGAATTGATGAATCTGACATCATAGGAAAGTGTACTGTGTTTAATAATTCTACATTGTCTTGTATTGTTGTTACATTTGGGTCATGCGGTATTTCAATAACAATAGCGTCATTCAAAAATCTTTCTTCAAGTAAATTGCATGGTAGGAAGTTTGGATTATTAACACCCAGCTCCCCCACAATACTACTTGAAATAAGTGGACCATAATCAACACCCTAAAAAATGAATAAATGCAATACAGTATAATAGAAGCTATAGTAAGCTATAGTAATCACAATAATTATTATAAATATCTTACAGCAGCATTATCTTCCACCAAACAGTCTGAAATTTCATTAGCAATACTATTATTAGAGCTATGAGCTATGTTTGGAACATACTCACCATTTCTAGAACCTGTGTCTATACCCTAAAAAATGAATAACGCAATACAGTATAATAGAAGTTGTAGTATTCAATCACGATAAATTATAAATATCTTACAGCAGCATTATCTTCCACCAAACAGTCTGAAATTTCATTAGCAATACTATTATTAGAGTTATGAGCTATGTTTGGAACATACTCATCATTTCTAGAACCTGTGTCTATACCCTAAAAAATTAATAATGCAATACAGTATAATAGAAGCTGTAGTATTCAATCACGATAAATTATAAATATCTTACAGCAGCATTATGGACCATCAAATAGTCTGAAATTTCATTAGCAACACTATTATTAGAGCTATGAGCTATGTTTGGATCATACTCATAATTTCTAGAGCCTGTGTCTACACTCTGAAAAAATATTAAAATTTTTAAAATATTAAAATAATTAAAATATTTTCACTGTAAATGTTATAATTATTTTAATAATTAGGATGTTTTAAATACAACATTGAACTATGTCACTATGAAGAAATTAATGCAATAATGTTCATGAATTAATTTTAATTATATAAAAATAAAATTATCTAAAAATTTGATTTCAAATTAATTTTTTGTTTGTACAATATTATTATTATTATTCTATAGACTATAAGTTTAATAACTTGAAATTATTTCAAAATGTATTTAATTATAAAATAGGATTAAGTACCCATATTCCGGTATATTATATGGTTAATTTTATTGTGTTATTAAATTTACATTCATGAATATTACCTACCTACCTAGATATTATTATTTATTATCATTACATCATTTATAGAACCTATTCATCAATATATTTGATCAACTATCTTAATTAAATTCTTTTAACCTAAATTGAATGCTTGTTATTACTTATGTAAATCACAATATTATATAAATTATTCCTACCTTTAGCCATTCTGTTACCACAATATGTGATTTTTTCATCCTTTTGTCATCCATATGGTCGTTGGCCTGTATTTGATTAGTGCATTTGTGTACCTAATAATTAGAAAAAAATATCAATAACATAAAATAAAATGTAATAGGTAGGTACATTGAAAATATATATGTATTATAACATAGGTCTTTAGTACAATAGTACATACCTATCTACTTAGGTATTATACTTTATGGCTTAATATGCGAACATTATCAAGTCTTAACTAAATAATAATATTTATGTTTTTATTTTAAAATCTGTATTAATAAAGTTTAGGTACTTACCTCCTGTATTGCTCGATGCACAAGGCATTTAGTTCTTGATTTATACATTATAATAATATTATATTATACTGTTACAAAGTATAAGGCCGTGGTTTGAGTTTTTGAGATGAATAAAATGAATATGATAGGTGTTATCACTGACCATCAACACTTTTGGCGCAATTTACTATCAATAATCACAATTCTTGGTGTATGATGATAATGTTTTTAGATGTAGAAATAAATAAATAAACCATTCAAATTAATTTGCACAATTAATTTATATAAATGAATTAATTATAAAAAATCTACAAAATATATTTTATGTATTTTCAAACAACTGGAAGTAGTACGTTTTGTATTTACTTCAATTTCGTTTGCTATCTTTATAACATAGAACATAGTACGTTTTGAAGTAATATGGAAATAGTTCGTTTTGTAAAAATATTAGGAATTAGTACGTTTTGTCGCATATTTCTAAACCAAACTCCTATTTAACACAGGAAATAGAACGTTTTGATGCAATTTGTAAATAGTTCGTTTTGACCTAATATTTGACATGGAAATAGTACGTTGTGCCACAATAACAGATTAACAACTTCAATTTAACAAGGGAAATAGTGCGTTTTGGTTCAATTTGACCACGCCATTCGATTTCCCGCCTTTTTTTCCATAAGAATCAATATATAACTCAATTTCTTCAATTTTGGAAATAGTACGTTTTGAAATGTCGCCCCTCAATTATCCTATCGTCTATTTTATTTTTATTTTACCAATTTATAAGTTATAACGTACTTGACATGTAATCGACTCGGAGTTATTTTTTAAGAACTTAAAAAGACTGGTATCGCATTCAGACAACTTGCCGCCAATGTTTGAACAAACGTCCAACACTGTTGTGGTGTTACAACTTAAAACCGCAGCATTTTCCGTTGGTAGTTTTTGAATAAAGTTTAACGCAAATGCTGTTAAACCACACGTCAAAACAAATGCTAGAAACATTATTCTTTTCACTCGAAATTTATCAACTATGAATCCAGTTAAAGGCTTGATTAAAAAGGATAAAATAGATAGATATGTGTAAAGATAGCCAACTAACATCGGTGAATAGCCCATTTGTTTAGCTATGGTCGGAGAAAATCCTACGATAGAAGCAACACCTGAAAACCAAAGTTTTATAATTTAATTCATGTACGCTTATACTGCTATGTTAATAGGTTTATCGTGGAATATAAATTATAAGTATCTGAAACTCAAATGTAAAAATATGGAACTATAAACAAATTAAAATTCCTGCACAAGACGCATACCGTAATTTAACCTACCTAGTACTACCTTATAAGTTTATTAAGTTAAGTTATAAGTATACCTATACACCAGGTATATTATATAACCTGTATAAAGTCGGGTTTCCACTATACACGTACATACAAATCCTTTGCTGTGATTGGTTGGTTAGGTTAAGTTACCATACGATTAACTATGATACCGTGCTGTTGGACATAGCTGACAATTTTTCGTGTTCACGGCAAACGTGTACCTATAGTGGAAACCCGCCTTTAGTGTAAGTATATATTATACCTATTATATTATACAGTTAAAAAGTTATTATTATAAGTTATAACAGTAAATAGGTTTTAAATTGTAATTGAATAGCCAGATGAGTGCATGCCTATATAGAAACCGAAATTATTATGTGCATTTGAGGGTTTGAAATATCGGTGTTTCAAACTATTTTCATAGATACAATTTAATTTTGCACATTATAAATTGCCTATTTAGGTTACCTGTGATATATTTTGTTTAAACTTTATATATTAGGTATATTAGGTAGGTACTAGGCGTATTATATAGGTACTAGGTACATATTAGGTAGGTACCTACTGTGCGTCTGTGTGTGCATCTTTCTTACACTCTTATTAGTAAATAATACATTTTGAAATTTGTTATTTATGTATTCAGTTCTGAACATTTAATTATTTACAACGTACCTATCAACGCAATGTTGATAAGCTAATAGTTAAAAACTATATTACTTGATAATGGCTTTTTTGAGAAAATCTAAAAGTTGCCTTTTAATACAGATTTGATTTCCTATAACTTATTTAATTGTTTTCTTTTTTGTTTATAGATTATAATACTAAAATGTCTAGCGTACCTATTATATTATGTTTGATATTTTAAAAGATTTGTATTTTTGATTCTGAGCTGAGCAATTAACTAATGCATTGATTTTACAATGATGTATGTTTAATATTTATTTGTTTGTGTCTCACTATAAGCCGTGGTCGAAATAATGCTTCGATTTTCAACTTCAGTACCTTGTTTGATGGGAAAGTGAACCTAGTTGGTGCATTAGGAAGACCCATATTCCCAAGGGAAACTAGGAATTTCTACGCTAAATCAGTTTTTTACCAAATCGATTTTGGTTTTTGGTGTAACTCTAAAACAAATGACCATAGAAACTTTGACTGGTTGTTTATATTAGCATTTTATATACTCAATAAAATTTTCAAAATATTTTGATTTGTTTTGAACTGTTAACAGACATTTTCAGTTACCAATTTTTTTTAGTTTTTTTTTCTATGAATGACAATAAAATTGTATTTGTTGGGTAAAAAGGCTTGAAAAATTTATACAAGGCTCTTACCGGGTATATTGTTACAATGACATTTTAAAAATATTAAAAATACATAATCACAATTTTTTATAAGCATTTAGAGTTTAAAACTTCACAAGACACGTAAAAATCACGAAAATGTGCAAATTATTTTAAGTTAGAAAATCATAAAAATTTCCTTTTAAATCTTTAATCACTCAAGCCATAAGTACTAGTGTTGGGTACTTCCTTAAAATCATGTTAACTCACGTTAAAATCACATAAACACCGCATATATGCCTATTGTAAATAACCTTACAGATTGTATATTTTCTAAATAAATGTTAAAAAAAAAATCTAAGATTTGAAAATTTAATACAAGATTCCTCGTAAGTTTTCCTATCTTTATCAAAAAAAAGTGCTTATAAGAAAGTTAAATTAAATTTTTATGAGCGATTGAAGTTCATATTTTTACAACATTTTACATTGGTTATTTTTTATTTATTTTTCATTACTCGATTTCTCATGTAACGATTTCCTTATATTTAAAAACAAATAACTGTAGATACATAGATATTTCACTGAATGTTATTTTCTATACACTATACAATTATTTTGACTCGTTTTGAACTGTTTACGAACAAATAACTAAATAATATCAATTTTTTAGTTTTTTTTTTTCTATAAATATCAATAAAATATTATTTGTTAGGCCAAAAAGCATGAAATTAAAATTTAATAATTATTTTGTATTTGAAAATTTATAACATTTTGAAAAATTATAAAATTTTCAACTTTTATAGCTAAGGAAATTTAAAACAGGATTCCTCGTAAATAGGTTATATATAATTTACTTTATTCAAAATAATATCACCAAATATACTTTACCTAAGAATCCTTTAGGAACTATAGGAGTTGAAAAAAATAGGCTATAAACACGCTCCAAGTCAGAGTGTAACTTTTATTGAAAACTGTCCAGTAGTTTTTTAGTCTATATTAACTTTGGATGAACCAACATATATTTTTTAATTATTTAAAAAAAATTGTAATTTAGAGGTAAATAATAAATATAGGTGTACTTATCTTGATTTTAACGTAGGTATCTATGTACCTTAGTTCACGGGTAAATTTGGGTCGATGTCCCATGCTTTGTGAACTAATTCTACAGATGAGACGGATAATTCGCTTGTGGCGGGTTATTGAATATTATAGTACTTTGTATAAATCGGACGTAATTCAAATTACTGTTTAAACTTTCCTGGTAGGTATCTCAAAAAATAATTCGAAATTTTCACGAAATTGGTCAAGTGGTTTTTGAGTAGGTACCAGGTAACCTAACCTAACCTACCTGGTCCCTATATAAACTACAAACATACATTCAAGTATTAAACTCTCATATTTGTTTTAACTTTTAAGTTATAATTTCTTTATCCGTAACCATAACCGTGACGATTTAATGCATACACCTCATCTGACCGAGTAACCAATAGCAACTATTTATAAATAAAAACAAATTTTAAATTTCCATCATATATCTTAAAATCATTGTGTGAGCAGTGAGGACCTCTCCCGGTTGGACTTACTGGGTCCAGCTATACATCTAAACCATCCAGCCCCGACTCCGAGGGACCCACTCAAATATAAACAAAATAATGCATCAAAATCAGTAGAGGCGTTTAGGAGGAGTTCATGTGACATACACACGTATAGAAGAATAATTATAAAGATAAACCTTTAGTAAACAAATATATAAGTAAAGTTGGGCAAGTGAATGTCACTCTGCTGTACAGTAGTTTGTCAGTGGATATTTTATATTATGTTTATGCCTATTGTTATTACTTATTATTAATACGGTAATCGATAAGTTTAATTAATATAACAAAATTACAATTTATTGACATTTATAAAAAAAATTCTAAAAAAATTGAAGATTGAAAATGTCCGTAAGCAGCTCGAAAATAATCAAAATATTTTGAAAATTGAATGAAGAACATTAATTGATAAAATAAGCATATTATGATATAGGTAAATCTCAAATGTCTATTTAATTTTTTTATCAAGTTACACCAAAAACCAAAATCGATTTTGCAGAAAACTGATTTTGAGTAAAAATGCACGGTTTTTCTTTATTTGTATTTTGGTTTTCCAGGTGCTTTTGAAAAGTACAGGGAATTTTTTACGTTTGACCCCCCATATTTCCAACTAGATTCACTTTCCTATCAGAAAAGAGGCTGTTAAAGAATATTTAAGCATTTTTACTAATGACAGACACAAATAAATACCTATAATAAATAAAAAACACATATCATTGTAAAATCATTAGAGATGGAGAATTTACGTAATAAAAAATATTGGTAAATTTACCAATAAGGTGGTAAAAATGGTAAAATAGCTAAATCTTAGAGCCATTGTTACATTTTACTATTACACATTAGTAAATACGATTTGTATTGGGTACTAATGTTGTATACCTATTACCTACTTGTTAAATCTAATTCTTTCTAATAATAACAATAATTAACACAAAATCTAAAATATGATAATATAATATGTTATCTATTGTTCTGTGTTAGACATTAGTAATTAGTACATTTTATGAAATATGAATATTTAATTATTCATATTACAATTAATAAATAATTTAAATTAAACTAAACTATCAAAATTCACATAACCTTATTTATTACTTTTTAAGTCAAAACATATATATTTAGACTTAACTTTTGTATTAATAATAATTAATAGTATATTATCAATATCATATTATCTGCCTTCTTGGTATCTGCGATCTGACTATATAAAATGTTTCCTACTGATATTTAATGTTCTAAAATATAGTAGGGTTGGCAGAATATTGATACTATACCTATAGTCTATAACAAACTATATAAACAATAATAAGTACATTATCAATAAATAATAATATAAATGATAATATCACTGTATCAGTTGATAAAAAATATATCTCTTTACAATTCAGGCTAGGCGTTTTTGATTTCATTTAATTGGAGGGGCCACACAACATTTTTTTTGGTAAAAAATAATTTACCGGTAAAAAAAAAATGGGTAAAATTTACGGTAAATTTTTTTACCCGTAAAAATTTACCTGGTAAATTAACAGCACTCACATCTCTAAAAATCATTATACATTCATCGGAGCCGCTCAGAATCTAAAATACTATTGATTATTAAAAATAAAATATTTTTTAATAATTATTATTTCAATATTGCTTTAGTATAGGTACCTACATATTTTGTACCTATTTTTGATTTATAACTGGCCTCTTTTGACATGCATATATAATTCCAGTTATATCTACTCATATAATGTTATTTCAGATATATCAATAATATACCTATTTATATTTCATATAGATCTATATTCAGCGTATAATTAAATGTAATTACAACATTTTTAGATGTCATAGTAAATATAATATTATTTTAAAATATTTATTGATACCTATATTGTTATACTTACCACCCAAATAAAGAAAATAGTGAAATTTCATTCTCAACATACGTTTATTAACCGAAAACATTTTTAACGGAGTTTTGAAATTGTTGATTTTGTTTAGCTTTTTATCCTTAGTTCCTGAAAACCTAAAAATTTTAAAGTATCAATAAAATAATAAATCTGACAAATTAAAAAAATTTAATCATTATTCAATACGATTTAAAATTAATGCAGCAATTTATTATTTATAAATTATAATATGTATATACATATTATGTATTAATGTATAATTCTTAAACAGATTGATTCACTAAGCATAATCACGCTCTTTTTTCTCCAAAGTATAGTTATTCAAAATCTGACTTTTTACATTTTTAAATATATTCAATGACCATATTTTTAAATTCTTGATATTTTTTATTTATAGTATTAAGTAGTATCCTGTGGAGATACAGACTTTTCTTTTTTTAAATGAGAACCCACTTTCTGCTATAAATTATATTTCTGAAAATAATATTGACGTATCAAAATCAAAATTCGAATGAGTATTGAGTACATCGTTTTTGAGTTTTTCAACTTTGTACACTAAGGATAATACTTCCGGACATGGGTTTAGAATATAGTTATTGGGGCTATCGGCTATGGTGATTTAAACATTTCTATGAATAATATTAATCTATAAATATTTATAATAATTTGTATAAACTGTTCAAGTAAATAAATACTTGATCCAGTAATTACTATATAGGTACCTACCTACTTACTATACATTATTTATTTTATTTTTAAGGATTATTCGTAGAATAATCATTTTTAATAACTGAGAATTTTAAAAAGTAATCTATATTGTATACGTATAGGTATCAAAATGTCTTAATTTTAAAATTATAGGTACCTATAGGCTATAGCTGATTGAAATATAATATAATATATATAGTAATTACTATTTTTATATACTGATATACACAGTACACACAATGTTATCTTGTCTAAGTCAAAACCTCGACTTGTTATATAAAACCATCTTTGATGGGTCTCGGACTTCAAATAGTTAAAACATCTGTCTGATCGCCAAATTCTGACTTCGTTTTCGGCATGCTTAACTATACACACGTTAAAAAAAAAAGATATAATTCAAGACTTGAGAAGTTGAGTTAAATTTAAAACTAACAGAAATTAGAGGTGATAATAGTTGTTGTGAATCGTAATAATAGAGAATATAGGGGGAATATTTGTACCCCACCTTCTATGAACTCCACGAGCCACCACTGGTCTAAAGTTAATCGCAATATATAATATAATATTTAAATTGTATCATATTTCAAAATGAGCTTATACATAATTTTAAGTAAATGTTATTTTATTGTATTTCTTCATATGAATTATGAAGTGCATAGTACAGTAATATTTAGCAATATTATTATGAAATAAGTTAACGGATGAGGGTAAAGAAAAAGAAGGAGATTCATGGAGGTAGGTTTAATGTATAAAGTATAAATGTTTAATAGTGTTATACCAAATACTATAAACGACAGAAAATATAAGACCAACCCATTATATGCCTACATCAAAGCATAGATAAAATATTATTGTATATTAATACAATAAATCAATTATATTTTGGTCATAGGTAAAATTGTCTAGAAACCCACATTGTATACCGACTAAATTATAGATTCTATTTAAGCAATTTATTTTATAAATAATAGTATATTAATTAAAATATTAAAATTAGTAAATACCTCTGTTTATTTATAATAATCTGTAATGTGCAAATTATTATTATGTTAAGTCGATATAATATACCATATTAATCATAAATATATTGTCCATTCTTACAACTACTTTATTTAAAAAAAATAAATAATAAGAAATAAACAACAGCCATAATGATGAACTCATAATTCAATAATAATATTGTATAAATTACACAGGTACCTATTATTATTATTATCATATTTATCAGCATAGAATATAATATTATTATCATATTTATCAGCATAGAATATAATATTATTATCATATTTATCAGCATAGAATATAATATTATTATGTTCTATGGTATCAGGCGGTAACATTATCGAAGTTCCTCCACGGCAGGAGGCTTCTGCGAATCGTGTCTTTTTTCTCTCGTCACTTTACTTTACTTACTGTTCTATATATATTTTATTTGAACAGATGGTATATTTCTACTTTACCGGACACCCTTTTTTTTGATATATTTTTTTTTTAATCTTATGTAGTTAAGTACACTGAAAACGATGGTGAAGTACTGAAGTCAGTATTTGGCGAATTTTAGTTTTGAAGTTATGGCCTAATAAAGTTCACTATTTCGTGATTTTTACGCATTCGTGCACCACACTAGTTTATTACGACTTTTTCAAATATTGATATTTTTTTTTTCGATGAGTGCCGCAAAACGTACCCTGTGATCTACTTGAGTTGGTGTTGCATAGCAAGTCGAGGGATATTTTCGATTTGCGGAGCATATAGCAATGGCGCCGAGGAGCTCAGCGACGAGTGCTGCTAACTGTGTAATCACCAGGGCTCATAACTTCTAGCATTTGCATATTTTTTTTGAGAGGTCCTTGAGATATATGTGTGAGCTATAAATTTGTTTCAGCTTCCCAAGAGTCTAAATACGAAATTTTATGTTGCATAATTTTGCATATTTCGTAATTTAAGTGCTATTTTACTATTTTTCCGACTATTTTCCCATTATTTTTGCATAATTTTTTTTCAGTTCCTTATCATTTAAAACATTTTTTTTTAATAATAACAAATTTTTCCTATTGTAATATTATACAGCTTTGAAAACTTGTACGAACATATATCATTCAATGTAACTTTCAAGGTTAATATATGTTTAAAAATATTCAAAAAATATATAATTATAGTTTATAATATAATATAGTTTTTATTAATTTATTATAATAATTTTTTTTAACTGAACAATTGCAGAATAAATGAGTCCATGATACAATAAACAATAATTCAATAATATTATTCCATTTTTTTTTTATAGTAAAACCATAAAAATGTTTTTATATAAATGTTTTTTTTTCCATATTTTAGTATTTTTAGTGCATATTTAAGCGCTTATATGAATATTTTTTGGAGCATATTATTGCGCTTATAACAACCGTTTTTAGAGCTATAACTTATGAGCCCTGGTAATCACTGTCCATATAATACGACATAACTTACCCTGTAACCTACTTGAGGTGGTGTTGCATAGCAAGTCGAGGGATATTTTCGATTTGCGGAGCGGAGCGACGGCGCCGAGGAGCGCAGTAACGAGTGCCGACACACGCGCGTAATCACTAAAACTTTGAACTTCCATAACTTTTGAACGGTAAGTTTCCTGTAATTTTTTCAAACCATTTTGAATGCAGCATAAAAAACCACGTACTTTGAAAAAAAATAAATCTAAAAAGAGGGTGTCCGGTAAAATAGACATGTTCCAAAATTGCAAAGTAGTGAACTTCATTAGGACATAACTTCAAAACTAAGTTCGAGCGCCAAATTCTGACTTGGCCTTCGTTTTCAGCGAAATTAACTACTGAAGTTTCAAAAAAAAAAAGGGTGTCAGGTAAAGTAGAAAAGTTCCGAACAGATCGTGTAACATTTAAAATACATAAAAAAGGAGGGAATCAGTTATTAGATGATATTATGGATTGCCAACGAACACCAAGACTCGACGAAAAAACACGATAAGACTTTATCTCGATGGAAATAAAACGACACGACACAAAATATCCGAAAGAGCTGCGTGCAGGCGCCTGTAGTTTGGAATGTCTATATGCGATCAATTTATTTTTAGCGGTGCTTTTAAGGATCTAGGTATTTGTGTATTGACATTTAAATTATGTTTGTTACTAATTACGATTGAATACTTTTATCTTAAGTGTACTTGGTCGCAAATAGGTTCAATAATATAAAGCAATTTAAATACAACTAATATATTAGATACAACAATATTATAACCTCGAATATATAACGTGTTATTTGCAATATATTCAGCATTATTTAGATTTTAGGACAGAGAGTAAGTTTTTTTAATTTTTTCAAGCATAATATTATTTATAATGATTTATTATTGAAAATAACTATATCTAATACTAACTTGAAAAGTTCTTACTATATCATATAGTATCAGCTGGCTTCAGATCATTAAATTTTTTTTTTAAACCTCTAAGTTAATACCTACGACCTACCTACTGTAATAATAATTTTGAAAACATAAATATATAATATTTTATAAAGTACGAATTTTTTGGCACCAATTCTCATGTATTTTCATAAGATATTTCGGTTAAAACGTTAAACCAGGTTCACAGGTACGTCGGCTGTCGTGTCGTGCGGGACTTTTATTGTATTCTGATTGGCCATGGTAGCCAATAATCATGGTAAAACTCACTAACCATGATTTACCAAAAAATTTCCAGAGTTGGGTCAAGCTCATCAGACCTATGTTCCAGTATATGATCAAACTCAACTTTTAAGGCGCCTTCACAGCTCCCAGTGAAACGTGAAACGTGATATATTCTAGAACTGTGATTGGTTGAACCATGTGGTTATATAATGGTTAAACAATCATTTTTTTTCTTAATACCTTATCTATACCGCTTATACCGTATAGTTGAGTTCAATCCTACTCAGAGCGTGTGTTTACCGTATGGTTGACAGTCGTGGTTAAGAATATTTTTACGGGAACAAATTATATATTATCACGTTTCACGTTTCACGGTGAGCTGTGAAGGCGCCTTTAGACACGAAACGACAGCCGACATATCTGTGAACGGTGAACCAGCTAGGTTTATGCCGGGTTACCATACAACCTTGCGCCGTTCTACCATGTGGTTATAGGTATCTCACTTTTACGTAGTTCATGTTTGTAGGCACGTTTGTTGCGATTGTTTCGTCAGGACTCAGGACAAAATAAGTTCAACAATTATTAAATGCGATCAACAGAAGACACGAATATAAATTGAATACAATTTAATATTTAACATTTTTTCTAATCAAAATATAATAGACAACAGTAAACCCCACTACCACAGTACGAGAGCGTGAACATTGTGA